GGGCCCTAGAGCCCCGCCCCCTCGGGAGGGAACCCAGGCGTCCGGGCTGTTAGTTGAACCCAGCTGCTCCCCCCCCAGAGGCGGGGCCCCGGCCCTGGGCAATCGATCCCCGCGCGCTGTTATATGCGGCTGTTCCCCAGCTGCCCCGCCCCAGAGGCGGCTGCATCCCAACCCCAGTCAGTCCCGAGTCCTGCAGGGCATCTCTGGCTGGCAGACAGGGTTTAATAGCTCTGCTTGAGGGGGCGAGACTGGGGGACCCAGGCATCCAAGCGCCCTGGGCGGGCATCACCCCGAGCTGGGCGATCCTCTTGGGGCTCTGTGCAGGTGTCGCTCCCTCCGCCAAGCCTGGCAGTGGCAGGTGCCTGGAACAGATCGGGCGGGGGGCGTCAGTGTGGCTGAAAGACACTTCTCCTCCATGTCGTCCCCCCCCCCCGTGCCCTCCGGGTGCTCACCTGCCAACCCTGCCACGGGCACCGCTGCCCAGCCCACCACCAGCGACCAGGCCCAGCTGCTGCCGGCTTCCCCGGCCGATCCACCCATGAAACAGCCCAGAGCCACCATGGCCAAGGTGCCTGCGAGACACAAGATGTGGGGCTGGGGAGAACCGGGGGATGGGAAGTCAAGGTGTGGGGTACTGGAGGAATTTGGGGGGCAGACGGAGGGAGGGTGGGGATCAGGAGTGTGGAAGGAGTTGCAGGTCAGATGTTGGGTTGGGGGTCAGGAGGGCTGGGAAGGGGGGAGGCATTATGGGGGTCAGAGGGTAGGAGAGGGGTTCCCCTTACCTGTGAGGAAGCAGAGGGCAGCAGCCCCCCGGGCCCAGTCAAGCCCCCTGGGGGCCGGGCGGGGGGCGAGTGCCAGAGCCCCACACAGCACGGAGAGGTACCCGGCCAGGAGGGCCAGAACCAGGCAGCCCCTCGATACTCCCACATACGCTGGGTGAGGAGCAGAAATGGGGGTGTCAGTGAGAGCTCGCCCTGCCACCCCCACCCCTCTGCACACCTTGGCGCCGCCCCCAACTCCTGCCCTGAGATCCCCAGTACCTGGTCTGGGTTCACCCCAGCCCCCAGGACGTCTCCATGACCTGCCGTGTCCCCATGTGGCCGGTGGATGACGCCAATACTCCATGCGCGGTGCATTGACAGCAGCACAGTGGGGAGGAAAAGGGGGAGCTGCCCCCCCCTGAAACCAGGCCTTCTTCCTGGGGGGTAGAGCTGAGCCCCCCCCACTCTTCTTTCAGTCAGTTTTCCCATCCAGCTACTCCCTGATGATGGAGCATGAGGGACTCCCCACCACTGGGCCTTAAGTTGGCAGGGTTAAGCCAGGTAACTGCCTGCCACTACGTAGGAGCTGGGTTAACCCGTGGGACTCCCCGCCACTGGATAAGAGCTGGGTTAACCAGTGGGACCCCCTGCCACTGGATAAGAGCTGGGTTAACCCGTGGGACTTCCCGCCACTGGATAAGAGCTGGGTTAACCAGTGGGACCCCCTGCCACTGGATAAGAGCTGGGTTAACCTGTGGGACTCCCCGCCACTGGATAAGAGCTGGGTTAACCAGTGGGACTCCCCGCCACTAGATCAGAGCAGGGTTAACCCGATGTCCCTACCTGGCTGGCCCTGGAGGGTGGCGCAGGCCCCCAGCTGACACTCCCTCCACAGCCCCCGGTGAATGACGATGCCCAGGACCCAGAGCTGGAGCCAGGACTCAGTGGCAGCAGATACCGCCAGCAGCACAGTCGCCATGCAGGAGAGACAGAGCCCGGCCGCCCCCAGTTTGGAGCCCATCATAGACAGGGGAGACCAGGCAAAGCAACGCTGAAAAAATGGTGGGGTTAACCCCCGGGACTCCCTGCGGCTGGGCATTGGCGGGGTTAACCCCTGGGACTCCCTGCCGCTGGGCATTGGTGGGGTTAACCCCTGGGACTCCCTGCCGCTGGGCATTGGTGGGGTTAACCCCCAGTACTGCCCACCACTGGGCATTGGTGGGGTTAACCCCTGGGACTCCCTGCCGCTGGGCATTGGTGGTGTTAACCCCCAGTACTGCCCACCACTGGGCACTGGCGGGGTTACCCCCCGGGACTCCCTGCCACTGGTCATTGGCCAGATATCCCTCGGGGTCAGGCCTAGTGGTTAGAGCCAAAGACCCAGGCCCCCCTTCCCTGGCTCTAATCACATCTTGACTCCCATGGTAACCCCAAGATTCTGGAACCCCCATGGGCCAGGCGGCCCCCCCGATCGACCCCGGGCCCACCCAGCCCGGTCCCCGCTGTGGGTCCAGTAACTGGGGGGAGACGGGGTTCGGATGCAAAGGGACAATTTATTTCAAAGCAGGAAAAGGCCCAAAGATGAACAGACCCTAAAACCACCGACTAGAGCATCTGGGGATGCCGGCTGTCCTCCAGCCCCACGGCAGAGGGCGGGGACCGGCTGTGGCAGGGAATGGGGCATGAGGCCTTTCCCCTCTAGGGGGCGCTGGCTCCGCTCCAGCAGTGGGGTCCATCCAGTCCCCCATCTCTCCGGGGCTCTGGTCACTGCCTCTCGTATCCCACCTGGCGCTGGTGGGCCACAAGGGCGAAGGTACCTAGGGGGAGATGGGAGAGATTGGAGAGAGCCCCACAGCCCCCTCCAGCACCCCCTGCCCCACAGCGCCCCCATCTCCCCACAGCTCCCTCCCCCAATTTCCTCCCCTCGCCCTGCGCCGCATCCCCTCCCTGCAGCCCCCCAGCTTCCACCCCCCAACACGGCACCCCGCCCCCACAACCCCAGCTGCCCCCCGCCACCTGCTGCCCCATGGCTCCCTACCTCGTTCCCCCCAACACCCTGCCCCCCATGGCACCCTGACCCAGATTCTCACGGCGCCCCCTCCCACCACGCCCCCTAGCACCCTGCTCCCCACGGTGCCCCCTCCCCTGCCCCCCAGCACCCATCCAGTGGCTCCTGCCCCCCATGGCTCCCCGCCCCGCTCCCCCAGCACCCTATCCCCTGGCCTCTCCCCACAGGACCCTGCCCCCCATGGCTCCCCCCAGCGCCCCCTCCCCTGCCCCCCAGCACTCATCTACTGGCTCCTGCCCCCCCCAGCACCCTGGCCCGGCTCCCCGTGGTACCCCTGTTCCCCCCAGCAC